GTAAGGTGACGGACTTGGAGGGCGGAGTGAGCCGAAGGGCAGGGCTGGGAGTGGGCCGACAGGGTGGGGGGTTTTTGGCCGATTGGGCTAACAGGGTTATGGGGCTGGGTTGGGTGGGTGGCAGCGGGTTGGGGGTGTGGTGTGGGTTGGGTGGGTTGTCCTCCGTGGTGTCCAGAAAATTGAGATCATTAGGATTGGAAGATTGGGAAAATGGAAAAGAGGACTCATCAAACACTACATGTCGGGAAACAATGATTTTGTTAGTTTGGAGGTCAAGACAGCGATATCCGCGTTGATTAGAGGGATAGCCTAGGAAAATGCACCGAGCAAAGCGTGGGGCGAGTTTGTGTGGGGCGGTGGCAGTAGTGTTTGGATAGCAAAGGCACCCAAACACGCGGAGGTGGGAGTAAGTAGGTGGAGTTTTATATAGAAGGGCGTGTGGGGTTTGGTTGTGAAGTGTGGTGGTTGGGAGAAGGTTGAAAAGGTGAGCAGCCATGTGTAGGGCCTCAACCCAATATTCGGGTGGTAGGTGGGCTTGAAAAAGAAGAGTGCGAACGGTATTGTTTATGGTGCGAATGGTGCGCTCTGCCCGGCCATTTTGCTGGCTAGTGTGGGGACACGAGAAACGGAATAAAATCCCTAAAGAGGCAAAAATATTTTGGAAGGGGGAGTTGCGATATTCTGTACCATTATCACATTGAACAGATTTAATGGTGGTGTTAAAGTGGTTTTGAACATACTTAGTGAAAAAATTTAGATGATTAAAAGCATCAGATTTTTGTTTTAGAGGAAAAACCCATAAATAATGCGAGTAATCATCCAATAATAACATGTAATGTTTAAAACCAGTAACACTAGGTATAGGAGATTGCCACAAATCTGTATGTAATAATTCAAACGGAAAAGTAGAGACACGACAGGACTGATAAAATGGGAGACGAACATGTTTTCCCAACTGACACGCATGACATAAACTTAGACTAGAATGTTTAAATAAATGATAAAGACTCGAGACGCCACGGAGAACGGCTGGACTTGGGTGACCCAGGCGCCGGTGCCATGTTTGGATGTCAACTGACGCGCTGAGTGCTTGGGCTTGTGCGGTGGGGCGCAGGGGGTAGAGAGGGCCAGCATTATTGGATCGATGTATCACGGTTCCCGTCCGAAGATCCTTCACAGAAAAGCCATGAGCATCAAATTCAATAGAGCAGTTATTGTCACGGGTAAATTGTCGGACAGAAATAAGATTGTGGATAATATGAGGGGATATAAGGACATTTTTAAGGGATAAAGGGGGGTTGGTGGGAAAAAAATGGTTACCAACAGCCATAGTGCTAACTTTAGATCCATTACCTACAGTGATATGAAGAGGTGAATTTAATGATTGAGAAGAGACATGAGAAATAGTACCTGGGTCGGAGGCGATGTGATGGGATGCCCCGGTGTCCATTAGCCAAGTGGATTCCTGCAGGCTCATAGTGTCAAAGTTGTGGGCAAGGGCCGTGGGGGTGGGGGTGGGTGCCTGCAGGTAGGTGAGGGGAGAGGGGTAGGGTACCGGGGTAAGGGGGGCTGTCGGGTAGGGGTAGTATG